TTACTATCATTTACTATTACTATAGATCTGCGGTGACTATTACATGTGGTCAAAATTATTAAATTGCGTCAGACGCAATTAAAATTCTAGAAAATTGAACATTGCGTCACCAATCATAAATTTGACGCGTTGACGCAAGACGCAATCCATGACGCAAGACTCGTGAGTGATATAAACTATCTGAAAATGATGTTTTCAAATCTTGCAAAAATGATAAAAATTACATTATTTATTTATTTGCAATAATTCTGTATATTTTATGAAATTAATTTAAAGTATAAACCTTTTTTTTGAGTTATCCACGATTTTCTACTTCACAACTTTAAAAGGTTATGGTCTAATTGAAAAACTTTTGTATGTATTATATTCATTATATAAAATATCCATAATTATAAGCAAATTAATATTTTATTATATGAAGTTTTGTGCAATTCACAAAAATTTCAAACATGATAAAAAAAAATACTATCATTTTTACATTTAATCAATTTCATTATTTAAAATATCATCCACTATTATTTTTGTATTTTTGTGGATCAGAATGAATAGGTTATCAACGAATTGATTTTGTTATTAGTGAATAATTTTGGGTAAAGAAGATAATAGTTTTAAATAAAGATATTTATTTTATTTATTTAGTTTTCTTAGTTGAAACTAATTAACTTGTTAGAAAGTTACTTTACAAGTACATTGAATTCAAGCTCCTTATATACAATTCAATTAATTAATAATTCTAATATTTCAAAATTGAAATTTCCGTTCAATATTGAAAAGCTAATTCAATATTTCAAAATTGTACTAATATTTCAAAATTGAAATATTAGAAAGACGATTCTTCCTTAATATTATAAAGAAATTACAACGTTATACAAATAATAAAAATAGAAATAAAGATAAAATGTATTACGAAAATAGATGTAATACGGGATAACATAATACTAAACTAATAAAATAAGATTTCATTTCATTTTATTTTATATATTTAGGCTTGTGCCAGCAGTACTTAGCATTAGTACTGTAGAGAGAGTTTTGAGTGGGCTCTGAGCTGTGTGCTGATACAGAGGCCTGAGATAGAGAATTGAGAACCCTGAGCTGTGTGCTGATACAGGGAGATTTATATATTAGACTTTTATATTTATTTTATTTATATTTTTATTGGACACATTATGAGCGTATTTTACATGCTCACAATAGAGATGAATTAGACACACTGCTAGAAACTCATGGATTGATTAGATTAGGAAATAGATTAGTAAGATTTATTTTAGATCACTCAACAGTTATTAGAAAACTAATACTTAATACTTCTAACATGGATTTTAATCAGATGAATAATCACTATTAAAGACTAGTGCTGTAAATTATGATGATAGTAGTAATTGTATTTATGGCATATAAAAAGTGGTCGCAATTACCTTTGTGACCACTTTTGCAACCATCCTTTTTCCTTTTTTGGATTATGGCGCTAGTCTTTAATCACTATAGATTTGGCAACATCTTTCAAAATCTTAATAAATTAAGTTGACAGTTTTGATAAATTAGCCAATATTTGCAAGAATATTCAATCATTAGAGATTCATTACAATTCATATGATGCCAAATTTGATTATAGCACAAAATCAAATAAAAAATTAGTAATTCATTCATATTATACCAATCAAAGGTTTTCAAATAATTTCAATACAGCAATATCAGAACATTCACAATCAATTGTTTATTACAAAAGTTTTTGAGAAAATAATATAGATCATATCACTCCCTGGACAAAAGTATCCGGACACCTGTTTTTACTAATTACACAAAAACGCACATAATAACTATACATAAAATTTTGAAAAAATTTGGCTTAGGTTTTGATGAACATGCATATAAAATTTGATGCTTTTAGAACGCCCAGAAACATTTTAGTTAAAAAAATATGAAATTCGACCAAAAAAATGATCAACAAAATTTTATTGAAAAATATAAAAAATAAAAAATCCAATATTAATATCAAGTTGGCCATCCATTGCTAGAAATACATGCCTCGATCCTTCTAGGCATGCTTTCTATTAATTTGTGGTAAACTTCGTATGGAATATTTGACCACTCTTCTTGTAAAGCGGCTTCCAATTCGTTGGCATTTTTTGGGTATTGTGCCCGCTTATCTAATCGCCTTCCTAGTTCACTCCAAAGATGTTCAATTGGATTAAGATCTGGGGATTGTGAAGGCCAATCAGGTAAAGTTTTAATCTTTTTTTCCTTTATCCACTTTTGAACATCACGTGCCGTGTGCACAGGTGCGTTATCATCTTGAAATGCGTAACCCCTGCTGTTAAATTTGTCACTAATATAGGGCAACAATTTGTTTTCTAAAATTTCTATATAATCATGCCTATCCATCATCCCTTCAACTCTAAATAATGGCCCCAGTCCTTTTTCAGAGAAACACCCCCAAACCATTATTCCACCACCACCATGTTTGACCGATGGTGTAATGTTTTCAATATTGTACCGTTCACCGACTGGACGCCAAACATGATGGGGACCATCGCTTCTAAAAATTGTAAAGCGAGATTCATCACTCCATATTATCTTTCCCCATTGAGCAACACTCCATCTTCTCCTGCTTAAACACCACTTTAATCAATTTTCTCGCTGTTTTTCTGTAACACATGGTTTTACAGCAGCAACCCTGGAGAAAATTCCAAGGCTATGCAAGCTCCTACAAATTGTTTTAGTCAAAACCACAAGATAATTTTCTTCAGCAAATTTTTTCTGGATCATATTTGCTGACATGCGGTTATTTGTTTTTACTAGCACTTTTAATTCGTTTTGTTCAAGTTCATCTAAAGCTTTTGGTCTACCACTTCTTGATGCACTTTTAACATTTTCTAGGTTTTTATAACGAGAAATGGTGTCTTGAACTGTGCTTCTTGGGATTTTTAGCTTCTTGGCGATATCTCTTACACTCTTGCCACCTTCATGAAGACCTAAAATTTTCCCTTGGATAAATTCTGACAATTCTTCGTTTTTTGGCATTTTTAAGATTAAAAAAATTTTTTATCAATCTTGATTTTTACAAAATGTGATTTTAATTACTAATTTTTTAATTTTATTATAAATTATTTATGCTAGCTACAACTACAAAATTTTGCATACATACACACCCTGGACAAAAGTATCCAGACACCTGTTTTTACTAATTATACAGAAACGCGCATAATAACTACACATAAAATTTTATCAAAATGTAGCTTAGGTTTAGATGAATATGCATGTAAATTTTGATACTCTCAAAATGTCCAAAAAAATTTTAATTAAAAAAATCCGAAACTCGACGAAAATGATGATTATCAACAAAATATTTATTTTGTGTAAATAAAAAAAATGAAATAAAACTTAATATTAATATCGAGTCGGCCATCCATCGCTAGAAATGCATGTCTCGATTAGAGATGGGAAATTGCATGAAATTCCAAAATTTCATGCGCATGATGCGCATCGTGCGCATTTTATGCAATGCATTTTTTTTTTAAAAAAAAATTTTATTTATGTATATTAAAAATAAAAAAATTTTAAACTTTTATTTATGTATATTAAATATAAAATTTTTTTTTTTTAAATTCCATTAAAAAAAAGAAAACTAAATATATTTCAATACCACTCTTCACTATCTTCTATTCTAAT